AACGTACCCAAGATAAGAGTTAAACTTAGTAATGGTAATCAAGGATATAAATTAATATCATCCGACATCCATACAATTATACTACATTACCACAATTGGTGAATAAAGAATCTAAATGAAAATGAATCATATTACCGTTTCAGCGCGTTTTTTGATTTGTAGGTTTAGAACCTACCAGTTGCTCTAACCAAAGCCCTCTCGCTTGCAGTAGCGCGCGACCGCAGTACGCGTATACACATGGCTATATGTAACCTACCAGGACGCGCGACGAGTTGGACTCGTCGACGGTCCACGGGTCCAATATACGGAACAAATATTTTACAAGTATCACCCGTTAATTTTTGATGTCTGAATGCGCAAAAAATAGTGAAGCAATCTAGGTGAGAAATAGTCATGGAATCTAGGTATGCGCTCGATTCGAACGTCACGTTAACCCTTGTTATACAGTGGGGTGACATATGTTTTCGTCACTTCTGATAATGACAATACAAACAGCTCTTTTATTCAAATTTCTGATTGTTTCTGAATAGACTCAGTGAAGACAGATTCTAATGGAAATAAATAGCTGAATAACGTATCGACATTTCTACGTCATACTCATATTCTGAAATAGTATTAATTCAATTATAACGATCAATATTCACATTAAAAATTTGACGACGAAATTTATTTCAAACAAAATATATAACTGTAAAATAGTTATCAACCGTAAATAGTTTTTAACGAAATCGGAGCAAATATGAACATAAAACTGACAACATTTATCAAATAGGGCTCATCTGAAAATTAACGAATAGCGTGACGTTATACAGGAGATAAAAGATTAAAAGAGATAAAAGAATTAAACGAGAATATTACTATTTACACGTCACTCAACTAAAAACTGTGTTAGATTGTTCAACTCTGTTTTATCGTTGAGTGTTGGTTTATTTTCAACTAAAAATCGGGCTTCTTTAATCTTTCTGTTGATGAGTGATGTTCCTCTATCTACGATTTGAAGTTTAAGTTTTGGGGGGCCTTTGTGCTGAGGGTGACTTTCCCTGTAGTGCTTTGCTAGTGGCTTATCTTCGTAAGATTTTGCTGTTGGATTTGCCGCACTACGGTAATGCTCGTCGAACCTGCACTTGATCGGTCTGTATGTTTCCCCACCATAGTTCTCGGTACAATTGTCTACTTCGCGCGCAAGTGATGTGGTAGACGGTATTAGTTGTGGTGCATTCTCCATCGGTTAAAGCTGCGCATGTTCTGCAGTTTGATGTTGTACAGGATTTCTTGTCAAGGGGTCTGGAGTCTGTAAGGAGATCCTTCAGTTTCCGTCCAGGTTTCTCGACAATTTTGATGGGGAGTCCACTATGTCTGACAGCATCTCTGTATTTGCGACTAGTAGCTTCGTTGACATAGGGTAGTTTAAACTTCAAATCGTAGATAGAGGAACATCACTCATCAACAGAAAGATTAAAGAAGCCCGATTTTTAGTTGAAAATAAACCAACACTCAACGATAAAACAGAGTTGAACAATCTAACACAGTTTTTAGTTGAGTGACGTGTAAATAGTAATATTCTCGTTTAATTCTTTTATCTCTTTTAATCTTTTATCTCCTGTATAACGTCACGCTATTCGTTAATTTTCAGATGAGCCCTATTTGATAAATGTTGTCAGTTTTATGTTCATATTTGCTCCGATTTCGTTAAAAACTATTTACGGTTGATAACTATTTTACAGTTATATATTTTGTTTGAAATGAATTTCGTCGTCAAATTTTTAATGTGAATATTGATCGTTATAATTGAATTAATACTATTTCAGAATATGAGTATGACGTAGAAATGTCGATACGTTATTCAGCTACCTTAGGTGCAAAAAATTTCGTCGCGAAAAAAACTATTCCGAAATATTTCGTCCGAAAAATTTCGTCAATTGCTCACAAAACTTTTCGTCTGCGAAAAATTTCGTCCTATTTTGTCAAATTTAGACATTTAGGAAACCAATAAAACAAATATTTCAAAATAAATTAATCAAAAATTACTTCTAAATCAGAACAGTCGGAGCTACTATCGTTAGAAATTTGGTAGTAGACAACCTTATCAACTTTGTCCGGGGAATTTCTGACTACTACTCCTTCATTAATAGCTTTGTCCAATCAACTGCTCGCTGCTTCTGCTCCTGATACTGTAGCGTGGTTGGAAGAATTGCTGTCTACCTTCGCTCCTGCCTCCATTTCATCAGCTTTATCCGAAGAGTTGTTTTCTGCGTCCTCTTCTGCTCCAACAATTCTAACAGGTGTTTTATAGTTGCTCTCTATGTGATCTTTAAGCCTCTCGAGTACTGCGAATTTTTTCGCCCCAGAGATTTTGAACGACGCATTCAGTAGTATTTCAAGACCTTTCAAGGCTGTCAAACTTTTATGCAATTTAACATCATAAACAGATACATCGACTTTCCCGCCTAACTTTATGAAGAAATGAACATGCCTGCTTATTTCTCTCGGAAAGTGTCCCACCACTTCTCCAGCTGCTGATTTATCTTTCGTGTTATTGATCTTAATAACAGCTACCGTAAAAGGGTCGTCATTGTTATCTTTATCCAGTTGAACTTTGGTCTTTGAGCTTGCCGCTAAGATCCGGCTTCGGCCATGTCGATTTCATGTAAACATGAAAGCCACGACTGGCTATAACAGTTTTTAAAACAGCTTCTACTGACATGAACTTGAACGTAAACAATTGCTGGTGTGAAAAGGCGGAATTGTGAGCCGGAATGGATCATAGACACCTACAACTTTCTATCAACTAGAAAAGACGACATAATTAAAGGGTTTTCCAAAGCAGGAATAACCGATGCCGCCTCTGAAAACTTTGTCAGTGAAAGCTGGATCCATTCGCGGATTTAATGTAGAATTAGATGGCGAGAAATGTTATGATATTACGATATTATGATCGTATGATCATTTTGGTATGAAATGTTTCAATTCTTATACTGTATGAAATATGAATCATTCCAAATTAGATTATTAACTGAAGTTGAATTAATTCGTATGTACTCAATTTTAACTTTCAAAATTTAATGATGCAAAAAAATACCAAAAAAGTAGGCATCCCAAATATTTCGTCGTTAAAAAATTTCGTCGACGAAAAATTTAATGCCGGAAAATTTCGTCCGCGTTTTGAGTTTAGCTGAAATTTTTCGGCATTAAATTTTTTGCATCTAAGGTATTTATTTCCATTAGAATCTGTCTTCACTGAGTCTATTCAGAAACAATCAGAAATTTGAATAAAAGAACTATCAAATCATGAGACTCAAAAACACTACACGAATCCACCAGAATACAAACAGCGTTAAACTAACAATTTTCATTAAACCATAACTCCGCTTCCGGACCACCGATTTACAAAATTCAAAAATGGGTGTTTAGAGAAAATTCTGCACTTTTCTCGGACAGTAGAAATTAAGTTCATTCGTGCTTCAGAAGAGACTGGCAGGCCCATAAATAAGGGGTTTGATCACGATAATGATACTATTTATGAAGGAGCACATGTTTTAATAGCAAGCGACGAACTTTTCTCTACTTCAATATTACCATGAATTTTAAAACGGAATATCTTTGTACTGCATCGTTCGATTTCGATAAAATTGATAAGGTAACAAGACCAAATGTTTCTCAGTTGATTAAAATAAATACTGTTAGAGTCGTTAATCTCCAGCCAGAGATAGCATAAGTTTACCATGCTAAGTTGGATATTGTGAACACTTCCCCATTCCTCAATTTTTATTGTATCACGCGGTGACCCCCACTGCCGCTTCACTATAGTACACTATAGTACTGTAGCGTCTTCGACGCTACAGGGGGAGCCGCGCACTTCGTGCGCGGCGGGTCATACAACGTATGACAAAATTTTTAGTGGAGTCATAGATATGACATCGCCACAAAATTTACTACAGATACGCCAAAGGGTATGGGCCTTGTATTAGACAAATTCTCCAGACTCGTGATTACACTCACTGCTAACAATATCACGTGACGTGCACGCAAACTCGCGCGCTAAAATGCGCGCATTCAGAAGTGACGAAAACATATGTCACCCCACTGTACCTTATATACCTTGACCCGTATACCTTGACCTTCACCTAACCATGTGCTTTCGCGCCACTGCGGGCGCGCTTGTTTCACAAGTCAAGGCGGGCGCGCGCTACTGCAAGCGCAAGGGCTCTGGATAGAGCAAACCTTGACCCGCCGCGCACGAGTGCGCGGCTCCCCTGTATCGTAGAAACTCTACAGGGGTTTTTACTATAGTGAAATGACCGTTGGGGTCACAACGTGATACAAAGCTTTGCTACATCAACTCAATTTAATTCAATCCAATTCAAGTCAACATCTGTATACGGCACAACAATTCTTACTTGGGGACCTCAGGCTAACATGTTCATAAACATAAAGATTAGGCGGAATGACAGGATGAGCGCGGCCCAGTAAAACAATCCATATTTATGATGCAATCGGATTTGACGGATGTTACTCGTCTAAATTTCATCGAAGTAGCGCGCGCCGCGCTTTCTTCTCGAAATGTTATGGCCCGATGGCAAGTTCTACGAAGTAGCGTGCGCCAGGCCAAATCATTAACAATGGTCAAAATCGGATCAGAAATGTTTTATACTTGCTCTAATCAGAGCCTTCTTGCTTGCAGTAGCGCGCGACCGCCGAAGGCGGCAAAGAGGCGGCAATTGTATATTCTACTTGTGAAACTAGCGCGTCACGTATACACATTACATAGCTATGTGAAGTTCTATACTCATCTTTGCTTAATATTTAACCCTTTTCAATTTAGGACTATGAATTTTACAACAGATTGACAGTATCTGGTAACATTCTACTAGTTTGCAGTTTGACAGTGACATCACTTCCCATTGACAGTTGAATTGGAGTCTTCTTAAAACCAGGTTTAAATATCAAACTTCAGATTATATAGGGGGGAGTTAGTATCCATACATTGGCCTTAATAGCTCAGTCACTGAGTGCCCAATTGAGTAATTTGTCAAATCAAAAAATATTCGTGTTTAATTTTTGAGGGTTCATTTCGCATTTATTTGATACTTTAGATAACCAGATCGAGCCAAATTTTATTGAATTGTTTTTGGCCATTCGAAACACGTTTGTCCTGAAAAAATGAGAGTTGCAGCTTCTCAGATTATTTACTTTGGTTACTTTGGTGTGCTTCATAGAATCCTCTATCGGGTCATCAGAGTTGCTAACCACCCAGACAGCAAGGTCACTGCCTTTACTGCACTCCAATCCAGTAACGAGTTTCGACAGCTGTATCCTGCCACAGAGGCTCATCCGGGAATGATTTCACAAAGGTCCGTAAGCATTTCTTTAAAGTGCAGGGGGTCTTCGATAGTATGCATGTTTGGTGGGATTTAGTTCCACAATCGAGGTCCGATAATTGCAAACGAATTGTCTTTAAGCGTTTGGTTGGGCTGACTGCTAGATTTCTTCAGAGTGGGGATAACTGCCTTTTGGCCATGTCGGAGTGTCGCGGAGAACTGGATGTTGACATCATTTGGGCACTTGCCGTGCAGCACTTCCCACATGTGGATAATGGTATATTGTTCTCTCCTCCGTTGCAATGACATCAAATTTAAGGCCTTCAGTCTCTGCCAGTATTTTAGATGCTGCTGGCCATCTATTCTTGTTGTGAATGTGTGCTGAATCCCTTCTAGTTGTTGGACTTCCGCACTCTTGGAAATATTTCATAATGAGCAACAGTACTCAAGGTGAGTTTTGATGAGAGATTTGTAAAGGGTCACCATGGTGAATCTTTGTTCCTAGATGACCGATGATGATGAAAATCTTAAAATAACTGGCTACAATGAGCATTTTATTAACAATAAATAGTTTAGATCAAAACTTCAATTTCCAACAGACTAATAATTTTAAATACCTACCTAACAAATTTACACTCCGTTAAAACGTTATAAAACATCAGTAATTTAATAATAATAATAATTACAACTTTTATAAACCGCCTTATAGCTAAATCATATAACTCGATATAATTTAATCCTGGAGATAAACTCCAGTGCTTTCTAAAGCGGCTCTTACATTAACTGAGCTTAGTTTAATTGAAAATTAGACATGACAAGTTCATTTTACCTATGTAAATGCAAAATCAATCAAATGCTAGAGAAAAGAAGTATGTTTTAAGTTTGGTCTTGAAAGATGTAACTGACTCAGCTGATCTTATGTCGTATGGCAAGGAATTAAATACTTTAACTGCACAGTGACTAAAAGCTTTCTCTGTGTTTACATAGTTAGGAGAGGGCGGAAAACTAAGGTAAAAATAATTATTATCAAGACGTACATTTTTAAAACTTTGCTGCCTAGGAGATATCAACTCTTTTAAGTAAGGAGGAGCTATATTATTTAAACACTTGTAGGCAAGTAGGGCAATCTTAAAATCTATTCTAAATCTAACTGGTAGAAAATGAACTTTCTTAAGTAGTGGAGTAGTGTGTGCCTTTCTTCCTCTCCCGAAAATAAATCTTACAGCAGAATTTTGCACCTTAATTTAGTACAAAATTAAAGATCTTAACAATTTCTACACTTCAAAATACTAGAATAAATGTTCATAGAACACAATATTTGACTTTACCAGTCACTTGACGTTTCAAAATGAAACTGAGGTTAAAGATGCAGTTACAAAAGGCCACTGGTTCTCAATGGTTACTGAGACAAACTTTTTCCAAAATAAAAGTTATAAAGCAGTCCATATCTGCTTTTCTGTGAACTAAACAGCTCAAATAGAAAAACTCATTCCCTTGTTATTACAACAATATTTAATTTAAAGGTGTGACCGAGATACGAAGCATAACGAGTTTATTCATTACGTGTGATCAGGTGATTGGCTTACCTAATCACGTGATAAGGTGACCCCGTTAACCACACCATTAAACATTATGGGAATCGTTAATGTTGCCCAGTAAAGGTGTGGTGTCACTGTGTCACAAAATCACCCAGTCAATTTTGTTAAAAGATACACTAGCATTGTTCTAAGAGGACAATATAATATAATGTGTTTTAATATTGAATGGGCATGGTCTAAAATATTCTAATTTTCAAATTTTAGGGACAGATTCGGGAATCCTCAAACAGTATGTCATCTGCAAAGCAACAACTTTCAAATATGAAACACGGCGGTGGTATAAGACCTAAGGTATGGATACTGACTTTAGGCCCCCCCCCTGTAAATGTTGAGAAATTTGATGAATATTGTAATGTTAAAGTACTTAATTTTGATGTTAAATAGGTACATTCTATAGCATCTCTGTTTGACTTTTTTTTAATCCACTCAAATCTATCATGTTACTATTTCAGGATTGATTGCAGCTTTAGTCTTGACACTGCCCCTACATATGCTACAAAGAACACTATAGTGCACTAGTATCTTGTTAATTTGAAGTTCATTCGATTGATTTGGATTGTATGTATAGTAATTCAGATAGTATAGTGAGCTTCAAGTTAAATAGTATGGTACAGCTTCAAGTTAAATAGTATGGTACATTTCAACACTACTATATAACAAATAATTTGAGTTCAGGGATGGCAAGTAACAATGTACCCGAGAGGGTGTCGATACGAAAAAAACGTGGAGTCAAGACGAGTCCCCCTAAGGATTCATCTTCTGATAATGTCCCAGTGCCAGAGGAAAAGTACTGCCAATGTGATGTTTACATGTCAGAAGAACTATCAGTTGAATGTGAAGCTTGCCAATTATTTTGGCACCTGAGTTGTGTTGGTTTATCTGGCCTTAAAAACGAGATGTTACTGAATCTAACAAACTGGAAGTGCCCATACTGTTTTGTGGCGCCTCATACCTCAGCTGACACTAAGGAAAACGGGGCTGTCAGGGCTATTATTAAAGAGGAACTCCAACATTTGACCCCAGCCCTGACTAACTCGATTAAGGAAGCTATTAAAGGAAGCGCAGAGAAAACAGTTGATAAAGCTGTTCGTCTCTATTCTGAGGTAACAGCACAAACCCAGAAGAAGGTTCTCGATGACATGAGTCGTGAACAAGCTTCTGAAACTGTTATTTCGGAAGTGCAAATGAAGATGCACACTGATACATTTGAGCGAAACAAACGAAAACTCAATCTGTGTGTGCTCAAAGTTCCAGAGAGCAAAAAGACTACCTCTAAGCAACGCCAGGAGGACGACTCCAAGTTCTGCAGGGAGACCCTAAAGATTAAGAAGGACGACATGATAAGTTGCCATCGCTCTGGCAAGCTTGATGCTGACAAGCCAGATCACCGTCGCCCGCTCATCATCCAGACACGAGATGAAGAGTCAGTAAATTTCTACGCTGACCATGGTAAGGGCTGGAAAGAGTCAACTTATTGGATCAACTTGGACCTCTGCAAGGCAGACAGAGATATTCGTTTTTTAGCCAGAAAGGAGAGGAAGAAGAGGCAGGAGGAAGCGAAGAAAAGAGAGACAGAGAAGACGAAGGAGGAAGCAAAGAAAAGAGAGCCAACGAAGACAGAGGACAAAGCGGAGGCCGCAGTGCCCAGCCGTTAAATATTTTTTATACCAATGCTAACGGCCTATTTAATAAAATTGATGAACTAAAATGTATTTTATCAATGTATAAATCTATTGAGGTAATTTGTGTAACAGAAACTCATTTTAGTAGTGATATATTAGATGCCGAAATTTATATTGAAGGATTTAGTATGTTTAGAAAAGATAGAGATTTTAGAATTGACAATTCCACTGGCAGTATAAGTGGTGGAGGAGGCTCTATAATTTATGTTAAAAACTGTTGTAATGCTTCACTAGTGAACTCTTTTTTAAAGGCACCGGATTCTTTAGCTGTTAATATCAACACATCAGGTGGACTGATTAGTATTTGTTGTATTTACAGATCCACTTCATTGAATTTAGAACAGAATAATGCGTTAATATCTTGTATCAAGAGCATCTGTAGTGAAAGGAATGATTTTGAAACACTCCTTTTAGGAGATTTTAATTTACCAAATGTTTTATGGGAAACTGGTAGCATAAATAGTAATATTGTTAGCAAGAACCAGTTTTTAGTTACTCAACAGAAATTCATGGATGTTTTCAATGACAGTGGTTTAACTTGGTATTTCACCAACGAGACAACTAGAAGACGGCTTGTGAAGGATACTCTCCAGGAGAGTCTTCTTGATCAGGTCCTGTATACAAATGATGCTCTTGTCAACGGTTGTAAGATCGTTTCTCCGCTTGGTAAGAGTGATCATGTTGGGATACTTGTCGAACTAGTTGTTTCGCCGGATACTAGCAAATGTTTAAAAGAGAAGATTATCAAACCTATATGGGGTAAGATTTCCTCTGAAGAGTTATTAAATTTTAGTTTGAAAAATATCGACTGGGATTATAGTTCTACCAATGATGTTCAAGATATGTGGGCTGAATTACATGGTAAACTGGAGACTGTTGCTGCAGCTGTTCCGACTGCTTCGGTTTATCTTGACAACAGACCTGTCAAGTTGCCATGGAGTACATCTGCACTTAAACGAATGAGGAAGAATAAAGATAAAGCATGGGCTGAGTTTGATATTAATCCATCTGATGTTAATTTTAGTTATGCAAGTAGCAAACAACATACTTATGAAGTAGCAGAAATTAAAGCTAAAGTTAATTATGAAAAGAAAATTACATCTAATCTAAAGCAGAATTGTAAGTCTTTTTACTCTTATTTACGAAATAAACGTCAAATTAAATCAAGTGTGGTTTCTTTAGATAGAGGAGATGGTACGCGCACAGATAGTTCAACTGAGTCAGCTGAGGTACTCGCAAGTGCCTTTAGCTCTGTTTTTGTGCGTGAACCACCTGGCCCTCTCCCTAAAACTGAGAATTTAAGACCTGACAATGAGAGTATTGATGATATGGAAGTCAGCAGTTCTGATATAAAAAAGCAACTTTTAAAGCTTAACATTTTTAAGAGTTCTGGTCCGGATGGTGTTCATCCGAAGTTGTTGAAATCGCTAGCTTATGACAACAATTTTGTTGAAGCATTAACTAAATTATTTCAAAAGTGTTCAGATACAGGATCTTTACCTGCAGTGTGGAAATCTGCATCTGTTGTAGCATTGTTTAAAAAGGGTATTAAATCGGACCCCTTAAATTATAGACCAGTTTCATTAACGTGTATTTTGTGCAAAGTGTATGAAAAGTTGGTGAGAGCACATGTATTAAATTTTCTAGAACATCGAATTTCGAAGCATCAGCATGGATTTGTTAAGGGTAAATCGTGTTTATCTAATCTTTTAGAGACATTTGATGACATTCTTGACATTTTAGATGAAGGTGCCCCGGTTGATCTTCTATACTTTGATTTTAGTAAGGCATTCGACACAGTCCCCCACTTTAGACTTCTGTCTAAATTGGAAGGCTTTGGTGTCAAAGGAAAGGTTTTAGATGTTATTAAAGATTTTCTGACAGACAGGACTATGAGGGTTTCTGTAGAAGGACAATGGTCCGAGGTTAAACATGTTTTATCTGGTGTTCCTCAGGGGTCAGTTCTAGGCCCTCTCCTATTCATTCTGTATATTAATGATTGCCTGACCTTGTAAAAAATAAGATAAAGTTATTTGCTGATGATCTTAAATTAATTGGTAATGCAGCTAACCACGGTAGTGTTGCTGAAGATATCGAAGAATTAGAAGTTTGGGAAAGTATTTGGCTTTTACAATTTAATCCTGCCAAGTGCAAAGTAGTGCACATTAATTTTAACAAACAATCCTATTTAAATTATAAGGTAAATGGTATAGAACTTGAAGTATCTGCACAGGAAAAAGATTTGGGGGTTATTACCCATAGCTCCCTGCTTTGGAACGAACAGATCAAAGCATGTATCGCTAAGGCAAATCGTATGATTTGTTGGATTGTAAGGAATCTAGTTATTAGAGAAAAGGTTGTTATGATTGCTATATATAAAGCTATAATAAGACCTCATCTTGAGTATTGTGTCCAATTGTGGAATCCACCTGCGGCTCATGGAAGTTGGGGGACTGTTTTTGGAGCTGGAGAGCGTCCAGAGGCGGTTTACCGTCTGATTGATGAGGTGGGTACTCTTCCTTACAGCCGTAGACTGGAAATCCTCAATTTGACAACGCTGGCAGAGCGGCGAATACGTGGGGACCTTATTGAAGCTTTAAGATTATTAATGGTATGACTGATTATGGTTCAGACTTGTTCAGACCAAGCAGATCAGGTCTTAATCTGGTTTCATCAATAGATGTAGTAAAAGTGTGACAAAGGTCAAGAATATCCAGAAGTCTTTTCTCCCGGAGCGAGTTATTCCATATTGGAACAAACTCCCTCCGGACGTCAAGAACTCTGTGACAGTTTTAGGTTTTAAAATTAAATTAGAAGGATATAAGATAGATATGATTTCTAAAAGTATTACAAATGATTGCTTTTTTTGGAATGTTTCTAATGAAGTTTTAGTAAGAATTGAGGGAGCCAGTTATGTCAGTAATAAAGAGAAACATAACAATTATCTTTGGTTCCATCCTTATGTGGCAAAGAAGCGTTTTATAAATCTTTATTCCACTGGGAAGTTTTTAAAATAGGATAATGTTTTTTGATGAAATTGTTTTTAATATTGTATTTGATAATTAATTAATGTTGGTGGGGAAATATTTATTATATATTTTTTCACACAGTGCGATGATAGTTTGTAGACATGTGTGATGATGTGATGTCATAAATTTTACTTTACTTTACTTTACTTTACACCACTGTATATGGTTATGTGAACACCATCATCTTTAATGAACAATTTTCACTGATACTACACCTACATATAGATAAGCAGCACTGTATAGTTCAGCAGTGCTGAATCTTTCAACTTTTTGGATTGCAATTTATGCTGCTACTAGAAATGAGACAATGGAATTCCCCAGTTCACTGATCAATGATTATCATTGATTCTACACTTACATAAATAGTTATTGAGTGCACAGATAATGGCACAGATAATGGTCACGAGATGTGTTACGACTCTACGTCCAAGTGGTGGATGATACACCACTGTATGATGTAATGGGTACACACCGTTACAATTAATGAGCAATTATCATTGATACTACAATACATACAGTTAGACAGACAATATTGTGTAGTTCAACAGTGTTGTTGCAGGTAATTTGTTTTAATATTGTTTTGGGCTCCCTTTAAGTGCATCTTATAGGCTGAGTTCATTATTTATGAACTTCTTTTAAACATTCAAAAACGTTTTGACTGTTGTTACAATTTAAATATTAAAACAAATAATCATTAAGGCTGACCTTTTCCTGTTAACCTTTCTTCCGTAATGAAACCCGTATCCATGGTTAGTTCTTATCAAAGGCCAAGCTCTAAAGTGTTTCATCGATTATCCTATTAACATTTTATACTCACTGATCCTTATTATTTCCAAATTATTTCAGATTTGGCTGTACGGAATTGTGCTCAATAACCAGGACTCTACGTCCAAGTGGTGGATGATACATTTGTTGATTTTGGAAAACGATCAACTGAACCACAGCAGAACGGTGAAACA